TCACATATTTATATATTATGTATTTTAGTTTGTTACATAACAGAAGCAAAAATATATAAACATTGATTCATAGAAATGTATTTATTAGATATTTTATTACGAAAGTATAGTATAGAAAGTAAGCAAACAATTTTTTCAATATTTTTTTTATACCAAATCGCATGCTGTACTAATAATTATGTCCACCACTGTATCTTACACGATATTAGTTTAAACTTGCCCTGATAATCCGCTTAAGGGTCAGACGATCGTTACTGCATCGTTTCACCTTTCGATCAAATATCAGCGCAAATATTTTTTGTTTTTCCCGCTGTGGCATGTGCAACGTGGTACAGTCTTTCGAAAGAAAAACAGTCGCGGTAAAGATCCGACGCGACGAAAAGTTTCCTGCTTCGAGCCTCGGACTGTACACCGGCCGTACATAATCTTATCTTTGCCCCTGCCCACATGTCAAGTCTTTCTGCTGGTCGCGCTCGCGCGTTTCTTAATATACTCGCACGAATTCATTTCCACCGAACGGCGCCGCGCGTCCGCGAAGCCACGCGTTTTTCCCCCACGCGAGCGCACCTTTTCGCGCATCCGATACGCGTATGCACGGGAGCGCACATACACGTATGCGCGTTCACAGCCGCGTGGCCATCGCGTCGATAGATACGCGCTCGCCGGCGTATGCGTGGATTATTTTCGCTTATGCCGCGGCGTACGCAATCTCAGAAGTGGTTCTCCCGTTGACAGGTTTCAAGCGAGTTTTCGCCGGCCTCCAACGCCCGATCGAGAGTGCTTCGAGATCGACGATCGACCGCGCACGGCCGCCTCGATCCTCCTGTTCAAAGGGAACAGAAGTGTCGCGATCGGTACAGTGACGAACGTGTTCTTATGCAACCGGTGGCGTACGGGTTTCACGAACATCGAACATCCATATCGGTTGCACGCGCCGCGGGTGAATGATGAATGATTCTCGCGACGAGGACGATCGCACGGTTCCGTGTGCTTGGAACAGCGGTAACGGCGTGCGATACGCGCGCGTTAACCACGGGAAACGGACGAGTACGTCGATCACCGGATGACACCGCGAAGAATGCGCCAGGTTCAGGACGAGAGATCGGTCGTCGGCGGCCGAGCGTAGTGGAAAATTGATAACGATGACGAGACTGGACGGGAATAAACGATAGGATGCGCGTTTCGTCGAGGAATCGTTACGGCGACGTGTGGCGCGGACGTGGACGCGGAACTTGTTACGCTCGCGTGAATTATCAGCCGTGCTCTGTCGCGAACGATCGGTTCGGCGCGGTTTGACGACACGAGTACCGGACGTTGACGGTGCCGCGGCTACGATTCTGGTTTTACGTTCGACGATAGAAAGTTCACCGTTCACCCGGAGTCGTCCGGAAACTGACAAAGGAAACGTGTAGGTGAATTCGTGGTACCTGAGAGGAATGATCCCGTAAGTGGTGGGACGAGTCGTAAATTCGTCTGACGTCCGCGGGGAGACGCGCGACGTCAGAACACGCGCGTTAAGGGGGTATTCTAAATTAGACGTCAAATTTTTTATGCGCTTCGCTTTGTTTTTGTTTTGGGTTCTGGCGCATGTTTTTGGTCCATTTTAAGAAGTATACATTCTTTTTTTTTCTTGTAAATATATTGAAAATCGTTTCGGTGAAGCCTCTTCCATCGAATTAAATTGAATATTAAATGATTTAGTAGTTTAATAATGTATAACTTGGTTCTTTTGGAGTTAAGGTATTACAAACCACCAAGAGCTTCTACATATGTTTATGTCTTTTCGCAAAATTTTAAAATAAATATCAAGAAAGCTGCTGGTAGATAAAATTTTTAAAATATTTCCAAGCTGGTTCGTCGGTACGTTTTATAGCTTTATCTCGTGGGTGTAAGAAAAGAAAATGGTAAAATAAATTGTAGTAAACAGTTCATTTTCGTAAATAGTATACACTCGCTCACTGTGTAGGCTGTTCTTAAGTAAAATAAACAATACAAATTCTGCTAAGTAATTCTAAATACATTAAAGGAACCCGAACGTTTCGATCGTAACTAAAGAATATACTATACCATAATGAAATTTTTATCAAATGTTCAGGTAAATAGAGTGCATATACTTCCTACATATTTGGACCAAACACGATTGTCATTTATATTTCTTTCTTCTTTGTCATTTTTAATCTAAGAACAAACATTATTCTTTTGAATAATTTTTTATAATTTTGGCTTAATGATGGTGTCGTTAGAAAATGAAACGGGTGGGGGGGAAGTAAAATTTTTGGAAGGTTCTAAACTAGAATACCTCGCTGTAATCTGTTTAAATTTCGAGATCATCGACAGATATTGCACCGAATCGGGCCAAGCTCCGCGGGACAGAGTGGTTTAGTTGGACGAGGCGAGGGGATTGTCGAACACTATGGTAAATAGAAAGACGTACGCGACAATCGCCGGAATTTTTCATCGTTCGTTCGTTGGTGAGGTTTAGCTAGGAGTCTATAAATACGAGAGGCGAGCGGAGAGGCACGGGAGGCGGTCGAAACTGTTCAACGAAATGCTCATGATCGAAAAGGGTCCTCTCGATACGAAAGGAACCAACGAGGAACTGGACGACGAGCACTCGTCGGCCACCAGCAACAACGTTTTATCGTTGAACAAGTTACTCGTAAACTCGACGGTTCCTGCGGCTGCCGTAGCGATAAAGCTGTGCGAGGATTCCGTGGACGAGGCTGGAAGGAACAACGTCGAGAAACAGAAGCGCGGTATTCTTAGCAATTTCCAGAGGAGAACTTTCAGCAGGATCAGCTTCAAGGGAGAGTCTGGCCCTTTACTGAGCAGGTGGATTTATTTTCTTTTTCTTCCATGTAAATTCACGTCCTTTCACGGAAACGGATTATTTGAATTTGTTCAAGTACAGAGAAACAGTACCAAAAAATTGTATATTTCGCTTAAAATTCCTTAAAAGTCTACAAGTTGTTTTAGTGATTCAGAAACGGGAGTTTGAAAGAGTTTCGATCATTGTTTCGAATCGTTTTAGCGAATACTTATGAAGGGAAGTATTTAGTAGTTCTTGTTTACTTAGTTACCTAGTAAATTTATTTAAAATCCTTGACAAAGCATAAGCAACGCCCACTAAGATAATGGTTCATTTGTCCAAAAACAATTTATGGTAATTGCTTTAGCACAAGATATGTTTATGGCTAATTGTCAATTTTCTCTTGCCGATAATAAGAGTATAAAACTGCGAGTCCTGTAACGGGCGTGAAGCATAGTGTTTGTGGATTTCGTTGGTTGAAAATCTAGACGATTTCGACTCTTTTATAGAATGAACAGTTTCAAATTTATCCATCTCTTGTAAGTATCTGCACGATTGTTGTAACAATCAGGAAGGAGGAAAAAGAAAATTCGAAATGCGTTACTTTTTTTCAATGTAACGTTATCCAAATTAAATCCAAGTTAAAAAAATCGAGACGCTTCGTTAAAGTTATTCTGTCGAATGAAAAATTAAAAAATTCCAATGTCACTTTCTTTTGTGTTCGAAAAGATAAGAAATTTCTTTGAATTTGATTTGAAATTTTTAAATTTAAATCGTAGTCATTTTATTATATATTATTATTTTACTAAAAATGCACAGTCGGACGATAACGGGGTATTATCAGAGATTATTATGCCATAAAAATTGATAAACACGTAGAAACGTTTCCTTTGGACGATCGATTTCGATGACAAATAACAAAACGAAATTAATACCTTTCTTTTATTTTATTTAATGTCCGTTTACATTTCTGAAGAAATTAATCATCGTTTCAAAGATCTCTTCCATCAAGTTAAATTCAATTAAATTTTAAAATTAAATTGAGTGATCTAGTATTTAAATAATATATAACTTGGTCCTTCTATAGTTACTAGTATTCTATAATGAATAGAAAACAAGTATTACAAACCACCAAGAGCTTCTACATATATTTATGTGTTCCACAAATTTAAAATCTCAAGATATTATTTTCAGTTTTGCATCGAAAACGTGCACCGAATTGATATACATATTAACATTATACACGTTGTATTCTTTTAAATGGATGTTTGAAAGGGATCCAATTAAGATCGCTGTTAGGTAGATCGATGAAAATCCGCGTGAGGGTTCGCGATAATTCTGTCAAAGGCGCCCGCGAGACTTTCGACGGCGCCGTAAAAAATACGCGGTTCGTATTCGCGAAAACTGGATCACAATACTCGTGACCACGCGAAAATAGCACCGTACTGTTCCCGTTACCCTGCCGCGATCGGCAGAAATCTTGCTTTTCGTTACAAGAATAGAAGCGCCTAATTGCGGAAGACGCCTCTGCGAGAAGCAAGGATTCCCGACGCCGGCGTCGGTCCATGTCCGCGCGATGAAGATCTTTTCGTTTCGCCAGACGCGTGACTGACGCTTGTCTCACGCGTCTCATCTCGTATTTCCTCTCTAGACTCTTCGATTTTTGCAATAAGTCGATGGCTAAAAAATAGTTTTTAAAAATAACGATGTTTGACTATGTTTGATTGTGACTATAAAATTTTTTAAATGTCAGTGACACATGTATAAACAAACTTTGTAAATTTAATTGCAAAAGGTCTTGTGGTATATTCAGAAAAAATTCTCCAAGAAAAGCCTAAAAAAAGCGTGCTTAAACGTCCATATTCGGTTTCGATCGGACAAAAATATAAGAAATACTTCAAGTAAGGTACGAATTATTAAATTTAGGGATCGAGACAACCCTTTACGAGGGTCCCATTTAATTTTATTAACAAAAATATGTCTAATCGTAGTATTACAAATTCCCATTTGTTCTAGCTCAGAGAATTTTGTGTTCATTCCGGAAGGCTTAATTATCGTTGTTATCGCACACGTCCTATCTTTTTGCCCGGTATATGCGCGATCGCAAGGCCAGCTACGAATCACGAAACACGTTAGCTGTTTAGTGTCTAGTTTAAAACTTTTTTACGCTACCGGTAGCTACCTTGGAAAAGTCTCGATCGACGTCGAACGAATATCGACGCGAAGTTTAGGCTGTGCGTCGTTTGTCATCTGTTGAGCACTGAATCGACCTCCGATTCACGCTCAACACGGGGTTCATGGTAGAGGAAACATTCTTTTCTTCAATTCTCATTTCTACGCGCCAGTCCCCTAACTGCACATTTGGGGAAAGTTGATCTGCTCGTTGACAAACAGTAGCAACTTTCCCCAACGTCCTCAAGTCCTTCGTTCCGACGTGACACGCACCCCCTTCTTCCAAGAACATCGTTGCAAGTGTGCTTGGAAGGTAGAAGACAAGAGTCGAATCAAACAGCATTGTTGGATGACCAATAGGCCAAACATCGATACGTCATCGTCTGTTAGTTACTAGGTCTAAGGGTCCTCCTCCCCTACTATTGCTAAGACATATTGTATATCCCCTGCGGGTGTTAACGCCTTGTCCAAGAGTCAAATTCCATTGCAATTTCCGTTATTCTTCATAGTTGAGTTTGGCGTGAGTTCAACGTAAATGAATAAACTCTCATAATACAAAAGAGCATTACTTGACCACTCGGATTCCAACAGAATTATCACTTCTCTCTCACATTCTCACATCGCCTGCACATCAAGAGCTAAAAGAGGAAATATCCAGATATAGGAACGCCCGACATGGAAAACCAAATAACCTCACAGGAGGTAAGGGATGCAGCGAGAAAATGTAAGAACAAGAAAGCCCCTGGACTTGACAGAGATTGTCAAGAAGCTAATCATCGTCCAAATATTCAACAAGTGCCTCAAAGACTCGGTCTTTCCTAAGATCTGAAAGTCGGCACATTTCAGAATAATCCTTAAGAACAAGGACAGGGATCAAGGGAATATAAACTGTTATCGACCCACAGCACTTGTCTCATACCGCGTGCCGCAACATCATCGAGGCTCCATCTCTAGCAAATTAAAGGAATCTGACCGATTCGCGAGCGGTGCCAACCTGGCGTCGCAAAGACAAAAGGAAAATTGCTCGCCAAGGGTCGAAATTGGATCGCTTCAGTATCGGTCGAGACACTGTTCGCCAACGAGCCTCGTTAATTGAAAGGCCCCCCCTCGGACCCCGCGACCGTCAGCGCCCCTTTTCTTCTTTCACGTCGCCTTGGATCTTTTTTCAATGATTTCACCCGGTGACGCGATCCTCGTTATAAATAGGCCCGCAAAGTGCGTAAATCAGAGTTTCGTCGTGCCCTAAGTCGCTCCAGAAATCGTAATTCCTCGTCACGTTCGAGAAAAAAAATAATCGACGACGTGGAGGCAATCGATCTAGAGATCGACGGGTTTTAACGGGATCGCGGGTTCTGCGCGAAGAAATTTACGCGAGTCGAGGAGCTGGTGCAGAGAACGTCGTCGACGTGTGTTACGCAAAGTCTCCCGTTCCCGATTCAGGGGTAAAACGTATTGGTCAGAAGTGTCGTTGTAAACGATCGCGCGATGGTTGTCGTCGCTGGTCGCAGTGTTTAGAGAAAATCGTGCGGTTTCGTGTGCCAGCGAGGAGGGTGTCGACTCGGTCAGTGTTCCGTCGCGAGCGTCGTTAGAAGACGCAGCAAGATCGTCGATAAACGGATGTGGTGCAAAAGGCTGATCTGGATTTTCCAGTGGCTATGGACACGTTGTGATATTTGGCTCTGACGATATGAGTTCTTTATTCGTCGTGCTTTGAGAGCGACCGCTAGAGCAGCGGCCTCGGGCGAGAAAGCTTAAACTTAGACGCCGAAATTCCGGTGTAAGTCGAACCGAAATACATCGCGTTCTAAAAGCTGCTAACATCGAACCGTTTTGTTCGAACGATTGTTCCTTTTTTTATTTTGAGTAGCGACGCGGATCGGTTGGGCCCGTAATGGAGTAAAATCCAACGCGCGACCAGCCCAGGCATTTATTTTTCTAATTTCGTGTTCCGACGCGACGACTCGTTTGATCGGGCGATCGGTGCGTGTACATGTCAGCCATGTGTAGGAATTGTGAAAGAAATCGTTAGTGGATTTTCAAGTGAACAGGCTCCGCCGGCTCGCGACCAAGATCCACGGTCCATGGAGAACGTAGGGAAGTGAGAAAAATGGATGGATCGACATCGAAGACGCTCTCGCCGAGTTCCTCAGGGTCTGGGAAGGTCCACTTGGGGGAAGGAATGGCGTTCTCCGGTTTGCGAAGAGCGCTTTCTCAAGTGTCGATGTTGGTCGTAAAAGCGACGACCTCTGGAGAAACGGCGTGGAGGGAAGAGTTGCATAAGTATGCCGTTTTTCCGACATTTTTCCCAACCCCGCGACGATCACGAGTACCGCTGTTAGGAAACGCGTACGCTCGAACGATCGATCAACGATGCGTTTGATAGAATCTCACAGTGTTCGTGTAAAGCACAAAGAGTCTAATCGAGAACTTACACAAAGTATCATTGGTGGAAATAGTCCACAATGATCATCGTTGTTCGATGCCATCGTTTCGAAATCAAGATGGAAGAGTTTTCTTCGCTCAAGGACGACTTCCAACTATCGAGTTAACGTCTCGTTTTGTCTCGACGAGGCATTCTTTAAACAACAATCTCTCTCTCTCTCTCTCGACGGTTTATGTCATTGAGTTTATTGCAGCTAGTTATCATAATCGCAGGCACTTTCTCGTCTGGTACTGAATCGTACCGTTTTGCTCGCCCGTGTGGGCCGTGCTTTCGAAATACTGCGTAAAGTGTGTTTCTTAACCGGTGGTTCAACTAATCAATTACACGTGAAACGTTAACATTTTGCGCTCGACGGGCGCCGCGCGGGGACAAGATTATGACATCATTGCTTTTATCGGATAGAGACGCGAATGCGGCCATTGCAGGATCGTATTTATTATTTACAAAGGCGGCGGAACACCATAGCGATCGGGGTTTGGTAAACGAACATCGTAAATTCGTTTTCCGTTTCGTTCGATGCCGAAGACAGTTTGTTTTCATGGCGAAATCGAAGATCACAGGTTCTATAAACGGAAAGCACGTATCTTTTTCTTTTTACCATGTTGCAGAGGACGTCTAGACCAACTCGAATCACGCGTTACACGATATTTTTACTAACTCGTATTCGCAGTACTGGAAATGTGGAAACGTTTAGCTTTTTGGATGATTACGAGTATCCAACAGTATCGAAGAATTGCAAGAAGGAATGAAATTTCTGTAAATAGTGTCAATGTTCATTTATTTTATTGCAGTATCACTCTATATAATTTTAGTTCCACGTTTGCATGTAGCAATCTTGGGTCAATTACACTTGTGGATAAAATTATAAGACAGCCCACTCGAGTGTTACTATGTATAATGTAATAGTAGATACTTAACAAAGAAGAAGAGCGAATCTATACAATTTTTTCCCAGCAAAAGGATATTTCGAAATTAAAGAAACGCAAAATTATAAGACATTGCTCCGACAAGTCAGCTGCAAAAAGTCATTTTGCGAAGCTATACGTGCACTGTCTTAGAAACCTTTCGCGAGAGTGAATTTATTATTATCGGAAGAAGAATAATACCAAGTGCCACGTGGCAGATGATTAAACGAGAACGAAAAGAACAGAAACTCTACAATCGAAAGTAAAAGAAGAACATTTCAAACAGACGTCGCTCAAAATGAATGAGCGTCAGTGTGATATACAGAATTTCGTGCATAATCCTAAAAATTGTGAAGAAAAGAAGAGACCGAGAAGTCCAACAACTTTTGCTTCAAGAAACGAGAGAAAAGTTTAAGAAAATTGTAGCAGAATATGGTTTAAACGTGCCAGTAGATAAAATTATAAACAAAAATAAGATTAATATTGAAAATATACCAAAGTTGGCTGTACGAAGGTGACAAACAGTGGAATAACATTAATGACAAACTTTGCTGAAATTTACATAGAACAATTATTGTATACAAAAATGTTTTACTCATTTTCAAAGTTAGTGTCTTATAATTTTGTCCAAGTACAATTGTATTATTCCAAGTATATTACTTAAAAATATATGACAATTTTCTCCAATAAATATTTTACAATTTCTAGTACAGTGAATCGAGTAATATGTTAGTTAAAAAATTTTTAGGAATTTCTATAGTACTATTCAACCATAACAAGTAAGACTAAACATTAAGACTTAATTTAGTATTTTAAATTTAATTCGGATTATTTTTCATTATGTATACATCAATAATAAATATATATACTATATTAAAATTTTTTATATTTCTTTTATGTATCCATCGAAATATCATCGATATACGGGATCCATTTTAAGAAAGTCGTGACCCGCCGGTGAGTCACGCAACTTCTAACGCATGTGTGCTGTATTTTCCATAATCTTAATGGCGATAAACAATTCAGAAATTACATTATTACGATCGTATGTCCCGATATCGGATGTCTTCTATTATTACCTGAGTTCCTGTTATTGCGGTTTCGAACTCGTAACAGCAAAGCATTCCCTAATCGAACGATTAAAGTAAACAAATGTAGGCCGGAATAGAACGCAATCACAGACTCTCGATGGCCATCGGAATCAACTTCCTGCCGACGCTGTACGTCAAAGCGCGGATGCTACGAGGCCTCCCATCGGCCTGCGCGTTAAAACGGGCACGGTTTCTTGCAAAAGCGGAGACCCGACCGGGGTCCTCTTCCCTACGGTTGTCCAGCTCCGTTGGTGGCATAACAGGTGTGGAAGTCTTAATCTATTTTCATCGCGGGTCAATATGTCAGGGTTGAACGACGCGAAACCACACGAATTTAGAACGTCGTCTGCCAGCGGAACAAACCAAGCCAACACCGAACACCGCGGTCTAGGTCCGTTCGAGAGAAAACTAATAACGAAACAGGACGTTCTCCCACGTATTTCCACCTTTTCCTCTTCGAGAACGAAAAGTCCGAAAGGTGGACGTTCGCTTCTCTCGCAAACTCTTTCGGGACTGTTCGATCCGGATATATTCGGACGAATTAAAACGCGCGAACGGAGAAGATAAACACAAAGTTCAATAGCTCCAGGAAGCGTTCGCGATCAAGCTATTTTTAATCCTCGACAGTGAGGAGGGTGGGGGGTGGGAAATTAACGCGGATAGAAAGCTGGCAGAATGACAACATCAAAGCCGCCCCCGTGGACTTTTTAGCCTTTTCGCGGGACTTTTCGATCCGTTCGCTCGGTGTAACAAAACAAACGTTTGGTCGTGTTCGCGCGCGGAAGACAAATATACGATATCCCCCCGGTTTCACGTTGATGGCTGCAACGGAGCGTCGTCGTGCGTCGGAACTCTGGTTGACGTCGTGGAGACGCGCGGGGGAAGGTGGACAAGTACCACGGGTACAAAGTCGATCCACGGGCGTGGAAAGACAAGTTCAAAGAGATCGCGGGACATTCTTGGACCGTGGTAACAATTTTAGCGCCTCCTTGTACCAACCGTGTATTGTAATAATCCGTGACTGCGCAACATCGTCCGTGTATACAGCCCGACTGCATCTAAACTCGATCGTCTAGCTTTACGAATTTTCGGCGTCCCTCATGGCCGAACTTATTTCTGGCGGGTTCCGATCAGACGGGAATATATGTGTCGTCTGGCAACCGCCACTGGAATTTCCACCGTCGTCATCCGGAAGTTCTACAGGCCCTGGCCGTCGAATTAGGACCGCTACGATAATAATTAAATTCGAAACAAATTCGTACCTTCGTGACTCCGAAATTATATTAAACGATCTTTAAATGAAAATTCCGTCTTGAAATTCTCATATTTTTAGAGTCTTTTGCATTATTCTATAACATTGATTCGTTCTTTATTTTATCTTATTTTTTATATTGATTTCGAGGATTTTATTAATGTCTTGCACACTTGGGTTCGAAGTTTCTTTGTACGATTCTGACTGCTGAGAATTAAATAAATTCAAAGTTCCACACCTTTGTTAATGTTCGTAAAAAGCGACTGCAACAGGAAGGAAATAACTAAAGCCTAAATCTTCTTCCCCTTGTTCCGTGATTCGATTTTAATTTGGTCGATGTCCAAAACATAAAATCTCTTCTTAATCCTTACGCTACAATGGACGACTGTTGTCGCTGTTTATGTGCTGTCAGTACTGTCACACACGATAGTGAACAAAAGTTTGAAACGACTATCTTATTCATAGAGAATCGTACAATATTATAGATACTAAATAATTTTATTATAATGATTATTATAATAAAATCGTAATTTTATTATAATACAATATTTTCGTCGAGCCTTCGAAGAGATACGCGCCATTTTGGTCCCATTAGTCTCCGTAGGTTCTCCTTGTAGTATTAATAACAGCATCGAGACGTCATTCTTATTATAAAATCTCGTAACTTCGGCCACTCTGATGCTTTTAATTTTTTTTTTTTCTGGAGCCGGATAACGCGTACACTTGGGAGTAAATTTTTCGATCCAAGACCGGAAGGAAACGTTGGCAATCGGATTTTGTTCATTCGCCGTAAGCAACCGAAACTCTCGTCTATACTTTACAAATGTACTTGCCAAATTGCCTCGTTCTATATTACTGAATTTCGATTCCATACATTCGTCTATTTCTCGTGTCTAATGCGAGTCCATTAATTTGGCTCGTTTATGTGTACTTATTCGAGATGAACTCAATCTTCTCGAAGATCGATTTTTCTTTCTTCCGTTCCATCGTCGAATATAAAGCTTTGTAAACAGTAACGGAAACTTTTGTACTTAAAATTCCTCTGTGAGCTTTGTTATCAGTCTTCGCTTGCATCATCGTTATCAGTCTTTAACGGCGTAGCGAAATTCAACGAACGAGATTCGCTAACAGCCGTAGTCTGCACCATGTCAATGAAGACTTTTTGCAGATACGAAATTGGAATCGATGTATTTTTAGCGATCGGCTTACTGTTATTTTTAGCGGGTTCAACGGCTAGTTTGCTGTATTCGGAATAGATTCGAGATCACTTGGAAGACCACGCACCTTCTAATCTACGGATAACTGAGACGATTCTTTCTTGAGTAATTGACGTCAATGTCCCGAATGATACTGATAAAATACGCGTGCGGGATCAAATTTCATCCATTAATGGAAATCAATAATCTATTTTTGGAACAACACTGGGAATATACAGGGCGTCTCTTTTATCTTTTTATTTCTTAGAAGACATTCTTTTTGGCATTACTCAAAGTTCATGTCATGTTAGACCATCGTGTTTCTGGCTTCGATGCTCTGTCATTCGACTCTTCTCCCATTTCCAATAATTTCCTTTGCTTGACTATTACCTGTTGCTTCTTGTCAAACCCTCTTTTTCGTTCCTTACTCTTAGATGATGATTCAGGTTCGGTGTCTAATTTTTAAATTCCCTTGGTCTCTCACGATCAGGCAATCACCTTGTGGAACTAACAATGGATGCTATCTCTTTGCAAATTGTTTAAAATCAACAGTGATCGAGTGATCTAACGTTCAAATATTTATTTTTAATTAGAAAAGAGTGAATTTCTAAGACAAGAGCACAATTTTCCCCGGAAGATTCGAGGCCAAGTTTAACGCGTTTCGCGCCATCGCGATCCCGCGGATTTCCTTTCGCGATAGTCTTCGTCGAACACCATGCGAATTTAACGCGAAACTGGATTACCAGGTCTTTTGTGCGAATTAATATCAATCGACCACAACCTCCAAAGAGCTGTTCGGTAAATATTTATATATTGCAGAGCACGTCAGTGACCTAAATAAAACGAGATCGACCAAATATTTGGACGGCTCGAGTTTCCCTAAACTTATTTTCACATTCAGGAAAAAGCTTTTACCGAGAACCACTTCGCGGAGAATTAAATTCGGTTGTGATTGGAGGCGTCCCGCTGCGTAGAATTTATGGTGATTCGTGAAGTATTATCGAGCTTGGTAACGCGATATCCCAGCCTGTTTGCTGTGTTTTCCAAACCAGAGAAAATTTGACACGCAGATTACGTTAACCATTAAACTGCACGTGCACGCGCGGATCAGATCAAATCGAAGACGCGTTTCGCTCCTCGCGTGTTTGTCGATTTTCCGGCGAACTGCTCTCGATCGGTCCGATCCTAGCTCAAACGAAAACCGTTCGACCCATAAATTATGGTCCTTTGGCATTGAGGTCCGTATATTTCCGAACAGCAGATACGAACGTTTTGAACGACCTTTAAAGAACCAGTGGATCGCGATTTTCGATCGACGCAGAACGCGATAAAGTAAAAAAGCACAGTACGGTAAAGGAAAGAAACGAAATTTCGACCAAACGATCGAACACAACTCTTTCAAACTCTCGTGCAACGTATGAGCAAACGTATCGATAAATGTTGCAGTTAATAATAGAAATAAAATAGTTTCTTTTTAAATTTTTATTCAAAATAGTTGCGTTCTTATAGAAATTTCGCGCGCTACGTTTTCGTTTGCTAAGCGCGAGGTGTTAACCAGTTAAGTGTGTTTGACGACTATATCCGTAATGGAGATATGGCAGAATTTTGTGTCATGACTACTATATCCGTCATGCGTAAAATTTTGTTACAATTTGATATTTAAATTGTAATTTTGGCGAAAACTAAATTATATTCGTGAATTTTAATATGTTTAAAATGTTTAGAGGTCAAAACGAAATGAAACAAACAAATAACAATTATAAATAATTAATATAGAAAAACCGCATATACTATGAATTAGTTTTCGTAAATGTATCGTTGTCTTTTATTAGTCATCACAGAAGCAATTACGGATTCATATATTCATTATGCATTGTGCCATGCTTTGCTCAACACCATTTTCTAACAGCAAGTTAAAGTAAGAAATTGATTTTTCATGTTTTTCTTTCGTTCATATGCAAAATATTTATGTTAATTTAAGTAAATAAATAAATGTGAGTAATGAAATAAAGAAAATAAAAGTCATTTTATTACTACCTAATTTCATATTACACATACTCTGTGTTTGACGACTATACCCGTCATCGCTTGATTGTCGCGACACACATTGGTGCGCACTTTGCAAAGAGATTGCCACAGTTAACTGGTTAATTGACTCGATTGCTTTCAGGTATCGACAAACCAGGTTCAGCTCTAGAAGGATACGCAAGAGGGTAGTTTTCAAACACGGCGATTGCAATGTCGTACAAGGAAATGTCGCCAAGCGACGGCGCCGTTACCTTCAGGTAATTTTAAAGTATTTCTAAAAGCGTACGACCGTGCTGGTTCGCCTCTTCGAAACGTATACATCGTTCAAGGCGATTTCAGAAGTCTTCGTTTTTAGCTGCGGACGATTACGCTTTGAGATTTCGCGTTTTGCGTGTTTACCTCTCCTTCGGAAATCGTTGAAACAATTCCCGGCGTACGGAACAAGAAGACGAAACTCGTCTGTTTTTATAAGCAATAAACCATTCCCCAAATTGCTTCGATCTGTAGCGTGCGTTTCTGATCTGTAACCGGTGGGTCTCGATACTTCGAATACAATTTCGTCGCATTCGCTCGGCTTCGAGCAACTAAAATTATCCTCTTTCTTTCACGTAAAATTAACTTTTGGTGTCTGACTTCGCCCAGACGTTCGCAAATCTTTGTTACCGAATTTCCTAGATCGTAATTTAATAAAGCTCGCAAATGAAATTACTCTTCTTGAATTTTTACAATTACACTTTGACGAATAAATTCTTTGAACGCGGTCAAGTTCTCCATTACGTTTCACGAATAGTGAAGCTTGAAATATTTCAATAGCCATTGGAGGGAGACTCGGCTTCATAAATAATACTTTTTAGGACATTTTCACGACGCTGGTGGACGCACAATGGCGCTGGACACTTTTGGTGTTCTCCATGAATTTTCTCCTCTCCTGGCTGGGTTTCGCTCTGATATGGTGGCTGATAGCGTACAGTCACGGGGACCTAAATCCGGACAACTACACCAATCCGAACTTAACGTTCACCCCGTGCATCGTGGACATTCGTGGCTTCACCAGCTCCTTCCTCTTCTCGATCGAAACGCAACACACCATAGGGTGATTATTCACACTTATCTTAACATTTTTGACGAGTCAAAAGTGACTCCGGCACAGTACCAGGAGAGTTAAATTACCATTATACGCGTTATTCAGACATCGATACACGATTTTGCAACAAATTGTTTGTTTCACAATGAAATTAAATGAGAGTAAATCTGTTTAGGTATGGATCGAAGCATCCGACAGACGAGTGCCCGGAGGCAGTGTTCGTCATATGCATCCAATCGATGACAGGAGTGATCCTGCAGGCGTTCATGGTTGGTATAGTGTTCGCGAAACTGTCTCGACCGAAGAAGAGGACGCAGACGTTGCTGTTCTCGAGGAACGCTGTGATTTGCCAGAGGGACGGTGAGCCATGTTTGATGTTCCGTGTCGGTGACATGAGGAAGAGCCACATCATCGAGGCTCACGTCAGGGCTCAGATGATCAAAAGAAAGGTGACTATCGCAAAGTACCCTCCATGACGATTACTTTATCAATAATTACGATCGCTATGATTACTAAAAGTTTCGAAACAGTACAGAAGAGTTCGTAAATATTTCAGGTGACCAGAGAAGGAGAACTTTTGCCGTTCTTCCAGACGGAGCTGAAAGTAGGCGGCGATGGCGAGGAGGACAAAATATTCTTTATCTGGCCAACAACGATCGTTCACAAGATCGACGAACAATCACCGCTTTATCATATATCGGCCAGCGATATGCTGAGGGAACGATTCGAAATCGTGGTAATATTGGAAGGTAAAGAGGAGACAAGATGAATCAGAAAAGTGTTAAATTAATTTTTATTAGTGTTTCTCGAGACGTAGAATTTAATTTTGATATTACGTTTTTAATAGAATATGCAATTGTCTTTACAAACTACCCGTACATGGTGATTAAATTTTCGTGTGTGTAGAAATCATCGTTGAACCTTTTTTTTCGTGTCTTGGTTAATTCCTATTGGTACAAAAGTATAGCGTATTTTTGTTTTTTCTCGTTAGAAAAACTTTGACTGGTTTCAGGTGTGATCGAGTCGACAGGCATGACCACACAAGCGAGAAGCTCCTATTTGCCGTCTGAAATCTTGTGGGGGCACAGGTTCGAGCATATAATCACGTTTAAGAAAGAAACTGGCGAGTACGAAGTAAATTACACTCTTTTTAACAACACCTACGAGGTCGACACACCGTTGTGTTCAGCGGCTGATCTGGACAAAATCAGAGCGATACAGCGCGCTAAGGGAGGTACGAGTACAATTAATTCATCAGTCCCGAGAATCGATCGATCGATCCTCAAGAAATCTCTAACTCTTTCGAACAACCGCTCGCTATTCGTAAAAAGTGAACTCTATTTTAACGAGGATCGTGCAGTCGGAGAAATGTAATTGACCTCGATTAACATGAATCAAGTTTATTGAATCTGTGGCGAACCGTTCGAGACACGAGCCACATTGCGCGCAAATACACTTATGAATTTAACTGTCGCCGATACTCGATTCATAATAAATAGTTTTAGATCATTCGACGCGAAAACAATTTCCACGGATTACTTTCGATCGATGATAGTTTCTAAAAATCGTCAGGAATTTTAGTAAACAAACGTTCCATTAAATATTACAGATTCTCCTTTATTAGATTAATATCCTTTAATTTGAAGATACAACGCAACGATAAAAATAAAATTCCTGCTCGATCGTAGAGTTAACCGAGTGGTAATTTTTTACGTATTAACATCTGGTGTATTTTTATTAAGCGATTCCTGTTCCTGGTATGATTTCAGAGCGTATGAGCTCAGGCGGGTTCACTCATTATCGCGACGCGTCCAGCAGTTCTTTGACCACCGGATCCGGTTCAAGCTTGGCGTCGTCCACCGGTGGGCTGCAGATGAAAGTCCCGATGACGCCACTGGCTCCGATTCCAGTTATGATCACCAGTCCCGACGGTTCTCTGAGGCGCGAGAGCATGCAAAGTATGCAAACGGATGCGAAGCAGCCGATATTTTACACGCAGAACGAGGTACGTGTAGTCGCGGGCTTCTTATTTCCCGAAGAGACCGTTTCTCGTTCTCGAGAACAGGTACACTTTAGACTTTCTTCCCGGCGTTTCCAATCCAGTTTAGATCCGCGGAATGAAACGAAACGGAATCGAGCAAAACTGGTAGCAAATAAACGACATTGCCTGCAACGGTGGTTACCAATCACCGGCGCTTTGAACTTAAAACAGAGTTGTACGGAATTAAAATTGAATTACTTCAGGAATTATAATTGCAAAATTTATATGCATTAGGAGCAAGTTCTTCTTTCAACTCGGTGAGAATAACAAGGAAAATCGTGTGTTGCAGTTGATGGACAGCGAGCCTCAGTCCACGAGTCAGATGCAAGAGGACGCGAGAAATCAAGAAGACTATAACCGCGTGTTGGAGGACATAAACGCGACGTTGAGGAAAAATCGCGCTCACATGAAGGAAGACAGGAAGATGCACAGAGAGCCGTCTAAGTGCACGTTAGACTCTAGAAAGAGCGAGTCCAGGTCTAACATAGACATAATCAGAAGATCTAGCTCGAGAACGATGATAGATCAAGGCCCGGTGATCAATCCTCCACCGAGATCAGCGTCTCGACAGCATTTAGATCCCAGGTATAGGAAAGAGATATTCCGAGTGACGCCACAAAGCCATATTCTATTAAGAAAATATAAAAAACGTGCTGCTGGGATCCTAAAGCCTTATCTACCAAAAAATTGATCCGTTCAATCGCGCTCAATCCACGTTTCGTCTGCCCCAGGCACACAAAGTTTTCAGAATCCTCGGAAGCGTATCACGAACCTCCGCCTCATCCTCATCCAGGCTCGAGGAGATCCAGCTTGGGCGACAGCCATAAGCCCAAAGAGCCCCACAAGAAGACGAGCTTCATCCTCGGCGACGACGATCACGTGATTTCGATCTCAGAGGTGCCCGCGTCCCGACACGATCCCGAAGAGTTGGACGCTGATTCGTCCAAGGCGAATCATCATCCTCAGACCAGGGATTCCCAGGAGCAAGTGTAGGTGAGCAAACGAATCTTGTTGAAGCTTGAAATTCATCGAATTCATACTATCACGATCTGGAGATCACGTTTAATCGCACCAAGGAGCAAAGACTCAGGATTACTCTCTCGGTACTTAAACAACACCTTTTCTTTTTGATCCTTTTCATAGTCTATAATATCCCAGCAACTCCAAGGGCAGTTTACTTCATCGACGACAAGATAAACGAAGGTCGAGGTATCCGGTAAATTGCTTCAGATCGAGAAGGATCAATTACTCCCCAGTCGAATTGCAACAGATCGCCCTCTCGAAACGACTCGCCTTCATCGTAGATTGGGGCTTCTAAATTGTTCTAACTGGGGCACAAAGACGTCACGCGGAGTAGTTTTCATGCATACGCGACTGGGTGGCTTACGTTCATCTAATCGAGCCGCATCCGGTTCGGTTCTAATTCTCGACACGGCTCCGCGTTTCGTTTCCTCGTTTCATCGATCCTCTTCGATCGTCTTCGAACGACACTTTCCGTTCGGCAGAGTAACTCGAAGCAAACTAGACTCGCCGTTAACTAGAAAGAATCTCAATGATTCTGAGTCATTCCCGTTCCCGATCAACGTTCCGTTATTTTTATACGGAGCGTATAAATAGAACCGCCTCGAGTTTAGAACAACTTTCACGGCGACCGTCGATCTATAAATCTCGAATATCGACGTTTTTAGAATGCAACGTCGAATTAATACGACGTGGAACGGGTCTCCCGTCGAATCGGACGCGAATTGTCCGACCCGTGCTATAATTTAAACCAATAAAACGCGTCACGCTGGTTACCAGCTCGATTGTAGTTGTTTTTATGCAAAACACGATGACGCATTGATATGCAACGCGTCAGATGGGTCAGCTGTTTCGAGTCGCTCGAATCGGCAAGCAACGACAAGAGTCAAGGGTTTGGCCTTTAAAACGATTTAGCAATCGTTCGGTGGTTAAACTCCATCGGTCACTTTTTATATCGAAGACTTGTTTATTTTCTATCCGCGTTGCGCAAAGCTTACACGGGTTGGAAAGTCAGACCTTTGGCACGCTTCGTCGATTTAAACGTGTGCCTGCAGGATGTGGTTAAACGATTCCGGAAATTGTCGGTTAAATGACAGGGCAGAATAATTCTTAATGATAACGAGCTGAAAGGAATTATCTCTTTCGTTCAATTTCAGCGACCGACTGTTCTATTTTTGTGACCGAAACGACGCCTCTGGTCGATCATGCGTTAACAATATCCCAAAAATGTTGTTACAAAGAAGGGAATATGTTGCTTTGCAAACCCGGCACTGTCCTCCTTGGTTTCTGTTTTAATTTTGTCGCGTATATGATTAATTTCAACCCTTGCTTTATGAGCAATTTTACAACGAGTTTGATGCAGCACATTTTTCTCTAAATAAACTCTAAACAACTTTTGGCTTGTTTTAACAATCTTTGCAATTTTTTCTTTATGCCAAAATTGCTTTGAATTTTGAATTTGGACGTTTTGATGTTTCCTGCTCTGTAACTTTTGTTGATAAACACAAGGAAGAGCAGAGAAATGCTTCAGTTTGTTGTCCTATAGCTACAAATTAACGTTTAATCGATCGTTCGTAGCATCTAGTGAGTTCTGGGGTCTTTTAGTGATAGCACGCGTTCGCTATCTTTTTGTCCAGGAGTGTACGGGTTCGTACTGGGTACGTGGAGGTATTCCACGTAGTGATGCAATGGGTTGAAGGGCAGATGGATGAGTAGAGGATTAAGTGGATCCAGAGAGCTGCAGGTTAGACGACACGACAGGATGAGTTTAGTGGCGGGAAGTGCCCTCGTTATCACGCCAGTCAATTGTTTAATCTCAGCCCGGCCTCTTCCCCCCTTCGTCGCCGCTTCTTCGGTTAGGTTTCCACATACACACGAGCCATGACACCACGCGAAACACGCTAAACCGGCTATCAAGTGTCGCGAGCACGTAGATTCCTGACCCGTGTCCTTGTTTTCGTGCCACTTTGCACCTGTTTCTAGCTTTGCAAGTTCATCGAGCGTGAAAACCAGGGGATTGTTCCAAACGTGACTGTTAGAAACTGTTCTATAAAGGTTTCGACCGAAACAGTCGCGAAGAAAAGCGGAAAGATTCCAATCGATATCAATTAATGAAATGGGAGCTTCGTACAGGGTTGTCTCAACCCCTAAATATAATAATTCGTATCTTACTGTAGCTTTTTGAGAATCAAAATCTTTCAGAAATGCATGTTATTTATATTTTGAGTCGTTGTGTGAGCAACATAGTAACGTGAAAAATAGCCCAAGTTTCTAAATTAATCGTCAACAGTATTTTGAAATCATACTTTCGCGACCGTAGTTCCGCGTTCTGAGAGTCTCTCGACCGATATACAAGAATCTCCGCAATTCCATCGTCGCTCGAACGGTCTTCCCAGTCAAAGTAAACTCCTCGAGAAGAGAGAACACAAATCTTTCTACCTCGTTATTTTTTTTAACGACAGGGAACATTTTCCAGCGTTTTTTTAGTGTCAATGGCCTTCGTCGAGCGAGGTTTGTCGGGCGCAATTCTGCGCCATGATCTTTCTGTCGCTTTCACGTTATCGCGATTCTCTCCATTTCTTATTCAAAACAGCCATTGTCTGGACGACAATGAGCATGTCTAGAATGACAGCCGACGCGCGAGGATAGACGGCGAAGCGTATCGCCTTGCAACGCGAATTACGACATCCTCCTCTGTGTCTGTCCTCGGTCTGATATGCTGATTATACTTACACTATCTTGCGAATAATAATTCATGTGCTTCTATTTTCACCTCGAGTCGTCGTCAAACTCTTCCTAAATATTAAATAAAAAGGCATTTTTTTGCTATTAATAATCCTACTTATCAAAAACGTGGTCCATCGATAATAACAACATTCGTTTTGAAATAAAATATCAAGGTGAATTTAAAAATGAATTCCTGTGTGTCAATGAAACTTCAATCTATGAGAAATGGGTTAGGCGATGAATCGTTTCACATTTATTAACACACGTTGTAAAACAACTATTTTATCTTGCCAATAAAACGTGAAAGAGACATAAATTTCATCGTGACTTTGAATTTTATTTTCGGTGGATGCGTATCGTTGTGCGGCAGGAATGTTGAAAAGAATCTTCACACGAATTCATGAATGAGCTTCGCGGACGTAATTAACGAGATGGACGCGTGTCATTACGACTGACTCAACGTTAGTCAGCGGATAAAAAATCGTCGTCGCGAATCGTGGAAAAGAAAAAAACAATATTGCTGTTCTTCGCGTCGCTTTCATCTCGTAATGAATCAGCTGTCCGAGAAATCCGAACGTGTACACGTTCTCATTAAGCCATGCGTCATACACAGAAAGGAACACGAAGTATCTTAAATTCAACCAGTGATGTCCTTGTGATGTTCGCAAGGTACAATGTGTATAAAAAAAAAAGCATCGACGCGTTCAGTATTCTTTGAATATCTTTGTCTAGCAACGCCTTAAAAGTTACTAATTTTAAGCAAATAACGTGGACGTGTATCTTAGAAATATTTTCCTAAATTCGAACGAATTTACAATAATACAAAGGCAATAAGTTTTTAATTGTTGTACTTTTGCGACTCACTGTGTATTATAATACTTTAATACGCATTTTTTTTTTACCCACTGTAGAAGAAAATTAATTGCAACCTTATTCGAGGTTTCAAAATACCTTGCGTATCTAAGATTTCGATCGATCGTAATAAATATTCTAAATATAGCCAAGATGTACATAGTTGTCTCTAGATAACGAAGGACGGTCACGAAAGTATTCGATTTTCCAAAAATTTGTAATTCCGTTCAGGATTTCGGACGATTTTGTTTATTCGACGATTGCAAGGTCCCCGAAATTAATTACAACGTCGACCATTTTGACGGTTCCGACCGCTTCGACGATCGTTAGTCGTCAAAGTGCTCATCGAAACGTCGCGGTCTCCGTCCTCGTTGACGTAATTGGTTATTATCACGGTGAAGTGTGTCTCCTATTAGTAGATACCAGTGTACACACTGGGTCTTAGTGCGCATTAGCGTGTCCAGCGATGCACACAAACGACGCATCGTGAACGCACGTGGTTTGCTCGCGAGGTAATCGCAGGACGAAAAATAAATTAACGAGCACGTTCGTGCGTTCTAGAATTAAATAATGGGTGTGAAACGCACGTGGGAAACGGTGGACGAAAATTTTAGTGGGTCGTAGATGATTTTGAATCGTTTTATCAATTTGTAGACGTTGAAGACACTTTCAGCGTTGTAGCGTTTCGATCTCTCGTAAAAGAACATGCATATGTTGGTACTCGATTATTTCCTACGAATTTTCTAGCAACAACGAATCACTTAATTGTTTAATAGGAAATGTAATTTTCTAGCAGGACAACGCTAGATCGTGCGTGCCAATGTAAACGTGACAAAAATTATCGATCTTTGGCTAAAACCTTTGTTGTATTCCACACGCGTGTTACTCACTCGGAACTTCTCGAAGAAGGCGACTCGTTGCACGAACCGTGTACCCAACTGAAGCGTCGTTTACATGGCATCGAAACACAGCTACCAACGGTGGTAAACGAAAAACACCACTGTAAAACCGGTTCGGTCCAGGGAGCAAAACAACCTTTTGGTTCAATTGCCGCTCGTTCCAAATTGTTTTAACGGAGGAAAATTAAATTCAATAGAGGATTGCAAAAACAACATGGCGCGGTTTATTGCCGAAAAAGATCAAACGTTCTTTGGGAAAGGAATTATTAAGGCACCCGATAGAATATTACCAAAATTTTATTACGAACTTTGCAAGCAATATAAATAACTTCTACCTCTTCAGGTTCGTGATTATTAATTTAGCTTCTTCGTTACGTAAACGATTTAATTCTGTATCCCTACTATGAGAAATAGCAATTTTCACGTTGCTTTCTAAGAGATTCCATCCTGATTTATTTGACGTGGTTGCGACAAATATGTAATTCTGATTTTGGAGGCTTGTTTGCGTGGCACTTCCACGAAGAGCCAAGTATGCAAATCTTAGACACATAAAATATAATAACTGAAAGAAGTTGCAGGATAACGACTGACGACACGCAATATCTGAGACATCTAGAACTATACTTCCGCCTCGCTATATACATACACACCTGTTTACAGCGTATATGTCAACGATCGAGAAACATTATGCATTCTCTTCAATTGCAAATCACAGTTTACATTATTTCGTGTTAACATTTTCATAATTCGAGTCACGCTACGGTCTAGATGCAACTACTCGGACGGATACGTAACGTCGATCGGTATCGTTCGAATTATTCGGACAGTAATTAAATAATTCGTGAAAACCGCCGGTGGATCATCAGGACTCAACGACGGTAGAATCCGCCGGATAAGAGGTTCGGGGACGCGTACGTGACTCGATCGACGATTCTCGATCTCGTTGAGAAGTAGGAGGAAAAGGCTAAGTAAGAGAGAAAAGAGGAGGGATAAAGGCGGGCGAGGAAGGTGCGTTGACGTCACTGGACAAACTCGCCGCTCGGTAAGCTCGTTGGCAACGCGATCGCAGTTTCACGATGTTTCAACGTCGACGTTGACTCTCCCGGCCATTTTTCGATCGTTGGCCGCGCGAACCACGGCGATTCGGCAGCGAGAAATCGGTCGGCCGTGCTCGAATCATCGCACGAACGGCGCGAGCGTGATCGGTCGCGGCGGGAAATTTGAAATTCGAAAAGCGACGTAACTCGATCGAACGACATCTGTGCAAGCGTCCCGTGGACCACGTGGTGTGCGTCGACAATGTCGACGACGCGAGCTTGAAATCACGCGTCCGGAAGACGCGTGGTCGCGTCTTGTTCCGAAACGTGAACCGGAAAGGAACGTTGAACCAGAACGAGGCGAGGTCTTCCCATGGATTTTCGCAGCGATCGTTGGCATCACTGACGCGTTCGAAAGGTAAACGTCGATGACGTGAGAGAATGCGTTAATTGATCGGCGCGATCGTCCTATCGGCGACGGTTCACGTGATCCACGGCGGAAAGACAATGAAACGGTCGGTCAGATGATCAGTGATTAATGGCTGGCAGGACGCGAATTTTCCAACATCCGATCGCGTGTCGACCTCGTTTCTTCTCTGCGAATCTGACCAGCGGTCTCGTACACGACAGTCTTCGGTATAATGAAAACTGGATACGTTCCGATTTACGGTACGACGCGTGGCTGGACGATCCACGATCTCTGAACAGGACTCGATCGAGACACGCTCCCCGGCGATCTTTAATCTCCGTACAACCTTTGATTGCGATCTAAGACCAAGATTGGGAGATCGTTGTCCTTTTCTTATTGAATCGGTAATAATTGGAAGTACAATCGACGCGGAAAGTAAGTTGGTAATTAATTTAACGCGAGAAATGTAAATGCACAACTGACTTCGAAGGGCAGTTTGTTATCCATGGCTTCTAATTACTTCTTTGGGTCCTCTTTGCATATTTAGTAGCGGTTTGTCAACGACTTTGTTATCTACTCCTTAACTTATGAATAATAATTCGTTATTTTCTACAAGAACTATCTTGAATGAAAATAATAAAAAATAATGTGTAGAATTTTTAGAAACTATTGTATTTGTGTTGAGTTCTGATGGATTCGTATGAACCGGTAGAGACCTTTTTCAATCAACGATAAACATTCTATTACACCGTAGTTTCCATATGCTTGGCATATACAGACCCAGTTAATGAAATAGAACTCGGCGTTTGTTTATGAAAACTAAACCAGAACGAAGCGATTATCGCGTGTAGAGATTGCACGAAGGAAATGCATACGATTAATTGGTGCAGCCTTATTCCCAGTTGGAATAACGATCGCGAATAAAAAGGAAAAATTGGTTTTCGGCAGAAGATTTATTTCTTCTATCTGTACTTATATATTTCCAATCAAACTTTTCGCGTGTTTGTATTCTACCTCGA